ACTGGGAAATGTCCTAGGAAAACACCCCGGTGAGCTTTTTGCCTCTGGACCCCCTTCGGTCTGACTTGGACAAGTTTCCAGCACTCTCAGTTAGAGGATCCTGCTTGGACACCAGCCCATCCTGGATTCCTGTTCTAGCAGCCTCTCTGGCTCAGACACAAGCGACTTCAGTTCTGGATCAAATCATCTCTCAGATCTGATTTCAAGCCTCCACATTTCTCCTCCTCTGCCCTTCCTGTCTCTGACAGGGGGTGGTCTCAGAGACCCCTTAAAAATGGGGGTAGGGTCTCGCATAGACCAAGAGCAAGCTGCTCTCACTGCAGTCACACCTTCCCCAACCAGTGCTTCAAAGAGATGGCCAGGAGCTTCAGTGTGGCCATCCTGGGACTTCTTTGAAGCTCCCAAGGATTCCTTCAGCATAGAGAAGAGGCCAGGCTGCACCAGCAAGATTCAGCTGTAAACGAAGCCACCTATACCTGGAGCGGCCAGCTTCCACCCTGGAACTAAAGAATCCCATCTACTCTTGCAAGAAGTTCTCAGGAGGTGTTCCTTGGGATATTACAGAAGCTGGATTGGTTAACACCTTCCATGTTTTTGGTTCTCTGAGTATGGAGTGGCCTGGTAAAGATGGCAAGCACCTTTGGTGTCCTCCCAAAGGTAATATGCCTAAAGGGTATGTATATCTGGACTTCGAACTCAAAAAATCTGTCCACACCTTGCTTCGGGTTTGCTCTCATGACCCGCTGAGCCCATATGGTCTGAGTGAATATTATTTCAAGATGTCCAGCCAAAGGATGCACTGCAAGGAGGTTCAGGTGATCCCCTGGGTCTTGGCTGACAGCAAGTTTGTCCAGAGCCCATTTCAGAGGCTGGACCCCCAGTAGGATAGTGTTTGTTGGTGCCCTGCTTGGGATGCTCAATGCTGAGGCCCTGGCTGCCATCTTGGTGGAGTGGTGTATGCTGGGAGTGACACAGATAAGCACAAGTATCCCATTGGATCTGGCCGAGTTACTTTCAATAATCTACGTAGTTACCTGAAAGCAGTTAGTGCTGCTTTTGTGGAGATCAAAACTACCAAGTTCACCAAGAAGGTTCAAATTCTCTGTGTCACATCTGCAGTTCTTAGCCTGGCTCCTTCTTCTGTAGAGATCAGGTCTGCTTCAAGTACTTATACCAGGGCTGCTGGCACTGGCAGCACAGCATGGAAGACCTGTGCCACCACAGCCCCCTGATGCGGAACCAGGAGAACCGAGATTCCAGCTAGAGGAGCAGGCAATGTGCCCAGTGGCTGGTGGTGCCCAAGGCTGGCAGGTCAGGCAGCAGCCTGCACCGCTACCCTGCCATTGGCAACCAGGGAGCTGGCTTACTGAGGACAAGGGAAAATCATATTCACCTTTGCACTTGCTGAATCTGTCTTTGTTTCTGCACTAATTAATGCACAATGAGTTTTGTCAGGTTTTGTTTTCAGGACCCTGTGTCTCGCTCACCCTCCAAGCAACTCTAGTTTTCCCAGATTTTAGTTCCTCATTTTGCAGATGAAAAGCAAAAAAAGAACTATGTGTCCAGGAGGTATTGACACAAATGCCTACATCTAGGTTTATTAAAGCGCTTTTTTTTACATTCCTTGCAGTACTGATGGTGATGATCTGCAGGTCTCATTGGTTTCATTCTTGCAGTTGCCATACAGTGCCTTTCCATTTATTTAACCCCCACCTGAATGGCATAAATGGAGTGTTCAGCTGGTGGTTTTTACTGTAAACAACAAGGAGACTTTGCTCTTCATTTAAACCCAAATCATATTTCATATTTTGTGCCCGTGGGTTTTTACTGGTTCCTTTTTACAGTCCTTAAAACAATTTTTAAGTCGTTTGGAACAAGAGATTTTTTTCTTTCCTGGCAGCTCTTAACATTATAGCAAATTTGTGTCTGGGGAACTGCTGGTCACTGTTTCTCACAGTTGTGAATCTAAGCATTTGCAACCAAGAAATTTGGTTTATTTGAAACCAGACTGGAAAAAGAAGTTTCAGCAGCTGCTCTATATAGTTTTAAATGGTTTATTGCACCTTCTTAAGTTGCACTGATGTGGGTGGGAGGGTTGATAGAAGTTTTTAATCATAAAGTCACAGGACTTTTTTCTTTTGTAACTGAGCTTAAAAAAAAAGGCTGCTTTTTTAATGGGGGCAGATGAAGGTTCACAGGAGCCATTTCTCTTGAAGGGGCCAAGTACCCTTCCTTAATCTTTCATTTAAGGAATGCATGAATCAACAGTTGCAGTTGACTGAAATGCTACTGAAATTTGAAAACTTGACTTTTCTTTCCTTATTTTTTAAAAAAATAGTTCTTGCCCCTCTTAGGGGAAGCTGTGTGCCAAAGAACCAGTGTCATAACACTCTCCTCCCTCCTGCTGAGCTGATGTTGCAATGTTGCATATCCCAGCTACTCTGTGGGTTTTGTGAAGCTTTGTGTGAAGCCTCTACCTCATTGTAGTATATGCACTCTCCTACAGATGTGTGGAATAAGCTGTGGTGTAGTTTTTTTTTTTTTTGGCACGTTGCAGCAGAAAAAAAAATAAAGTTGTCTTAGAAACTTTGTTCTCAGATTCTAAAAGGTGAGGAGTAGCATCAGGCTTAGAGGTACTGAATGTCTTAAGGATGAAGTGTCTCTCATTACATTTACACTTGAACACAAGCAAGAATTACTTCTTAATGTAAAGAAAATCTCAACATAAAGATGATTTTGGGCCGGGGATTTAGCTCAGTGCTTTGGTGGACTGCCTTGCAAGCAGGACCCGAGTTCAATCCCTGGTACCAAAAAAAAAAAAAAACAAAAAAAGATGATTTTGACCATTTTCTCATTTATGGTATAATTCTAGTTGTGAGATAGCATCATAGTGCTTTCCTCTGTGTGCTTGGCTTTAGGAGGTAGGCACACCACATGAGGGTGTAGAGAAGTACTAAATTGCTCCTTAGTACATTCAAAAGGAGAGTGAGGTTCAGATATGGAGTTCCTAATCTGGAACAAGAGAAAGAAATATGGCATCCCATAAGTCTCTTCTTGATTCCTGTGTCCCCCTAGGGAGTCCCCAAGCTAACAGTAGTTAGCTACCATATGGTGAGAGATCCAGAAAAATAAAACCAGACTGGATTATCTACCCTTTACCAGCACACAATCTTATTTTCCTCAGGTAATTCATATCCTTACTCAGTAAGTACTTTCAAAGCACAAGGTACAATTGACTTCAGCTATCACAATCATGTTTAGACAAGTATTGCTGGCAAACCAAGAAATTCCAACCATTTCTTTCTAATTCCTTGAAAGACAGAGAGGAAAATAGGGCACTTTTCCTTCAAAAGAGATCACCTCCAGAGATGCTAAGTCAGAGATTCTGTGTGGAGAAACTCATATGTCTTCCTAGCAGCCACAGTCTACATAGTAAAGGCAACTTTATGGACTTCCTATGCACGCATATGAAGGAAGAAAAAGGTTGACCAAAATAGTCCCATATTCTAGTTAGTGTGTAAAAACACAAACACAAGTTACTGATTTGTATTTTCCCTAGTGTAAGACAAAATAGATGTTTGAAGTGGTCTTAGTCTGACTTTCTGGAAGGAGCAGCCTGACTACAAGAGATTCTCAAATAAACTTCCAACAAGTTGGAGAAAAGTTTAAGGGGAGTTTTTAATTCACTAACAGAAAGAAAGTCCAAATGAAACTCAAGCTTATTAAGTATTCAAAAAAAGATCACCATATAGCATTTTATAAGTTCACAGTCAACGTTCCAAGTCCATAACCTATTGGAAAAGGTATTTTTCTCCTCTGCATGGATAAATGATGAAGACCATTTCTAAGATGGGGGAGAAGGTTTGGTAGTTTTTAATCTTTGAAAGATTTGTTTTTTTTTTATTTTTCTAGAGGTCTGTCTTACTGGTAATAGAGAAAGCAGTCCAAACCCGTAGCTCACCTCTTAATGGAGACTTAAGAAAGGGCTCTGACAGCATCATTTCAGATCACTCTGAGACAGAGGATACCTGATGATCACTGACGGAGTTCCCCTTTCAACTCACTGAGGAGTCCAGATAGGACAAGATGTGGAGATTTTGTGCTGACTACCTGGATGGGCTGTCAAGAGCTTGTTTCTTTTGAGAGAACTTTGGGTATCTGCCAGAGAGTAGCCCTGGCCATGACCCCTCAGTTGTCACCTCAGTTTCCACCAGTTCCACACAGATCTGTCTCCAAAAGGAACCCAGTTTCCTATCTGGTCAATGTTCCACCTGCCATTGCTATCAATGGGAGTAGGGATTCACCAGAGGTCAACTGGAGAAATCTGTCCTCTGCCTTGAGAGTGGCAGCTGCCCTGAAGGCAAGTACTAGCTGGCAGAGTAACCACCTTTTGTTTATAATTCTATAAGGGACAGATAAAAGCCTGAACTGTCTTTACCTGAAGTACCCATTTTTCATAAGACACCCATTTTACAGCATTTTGAAGAAAATAAGTGCAAATGCAACACATACAAAACAATAATAAAACACAATTTTTAACAAAACACAATGCATAAGAAAACAAGAAATTTGCAAACATTTAAAACACACAACTTAAATTAAGACACTTAAAACAAGCTGAAACAAAGGCCAGAAGAATTTATATGAAACAAAAACCAGAATCTATGAAACAAATGAAAGCCTATGAAACAAGTTACAATCTATGAAGCGAAAGGACCAAAGTTAGAACCTATGAAAGAAAACTCTTACCTCTGACCAGTAATCTCTGTAGAAGACCTCCAAAATGATATAGGGCGAAGAGCTGTAACTCCCAAACCTGCTAAATGTCTAAAATGCCAGTTCGTGTTTTCTAAAATTGAAGAATGAATTCTAGGAACAACAAAGGTTAGGAGTAGGAAAGATTTATTGAGGGAAAGAAAGCTTCTAAGAGAGACAGAAGAGGGACCAAAAAGTGGGTTGTCTCACAGAATTATTTTAAAGTATATACTTCTTCCTTACAGGAGCAAAAATCCAGCAACAATTAGCCAAAATACATAACAATGTAAAGAAACTTCAGCATCAGTTAAAAGATGTGAAGCCTACACCTGATTGTAAGTAAATTTAAATGTTAGTGTGTTTGTTAAATATATTAGTATTTTCTATTTATTGGTCATTAGAAGATTTTATACTTTCCTAGTATGAGACACTTCTATTTTTCTACTTGGCATTAATGGAGCTCAATTCTATTAGGGATTAATAAGGATACATTGGAGAACTATAGTATCTGATGTTTATGCGGTATTTTTTAACCTTTAAAGTACTATCAAATCCTTAAAAACTATAAGGTAGAACAGATATTAATGTCATTTTTAAGGTGGAGACTTTAGTACAGAAAGGTTCAGATTTAACTAAAGAGAATAAAGACTGATTCTAACTCAATGCTTTTTCCATCATTTGATTTTTAAATAATTACTTTTCAGACATATTTCAGTTATGTAAAGAAAATTTCATTGTTGTTGAGGCAAATGCTAATTTTTGGAAACAAACAAAATGTATCCTTGCTTCCTTACTTATACTAAATTTGTTCCTGGAAATTCAAAGGAATAAAGTGCTCAAGATGTATAGACTTAGACAGATGTTGGATCAAATCCTTGATTTCTAGCCTATTATGTTATTCTAAGCAAATTACAGTAATGCCTTGGTTCACAAACATTTCTGTTTGCAAACAATTTCGTTCACAGATAAAAGCTTTCAGCAAAATTTTGCTTCTTTTTACAAACTCAGCATCAAGCAACAGACATGACCATGGCTATCTATCCCACACAAACACAAATTCAGCCATCTTCCCCAAAATGTAAAATAAATTAAATTGTAAACCGAGGTACCACTGTACTTGATCTCTTGGAACTTTTACTTTAAAATGGACATCAGAAGACTTATGTGAAAGGTGTGTTGGGGAGATTAAATGAAACAATACACCAAAGCATTTTTGTAGTGCTTATAACATAGGCACTAAAAATGATAAATGTGCCTATTATACTCATTAAATTAAATGAAACCATAAAAATACTAGAAAAGAACATGGGTTAATATTTTTATATTAGTGCTATGTTTCATAGGATGGATAAGATCAGAAAATATGAAGAAAAATTGAACATATTTGACTACTTAAAAATACTTAAATCCATAAGCAAAATTGAGAGACAAATTAGAAAAATATTAACTATATATAAATAATTTAAAATATAAGTATATGACTTACGTGTGAGCGCAACCCATAAATGACTAGAAAAATATTAACTATATATAAATAATTTAAAATATAAGTATATGACTTACAAGTCAGAGCAACCAACATAAATGACCTAATAGAAAAAGGGAAAAAAATTGTAAGGTGCCCAGTGTAACAAAAGAAATACAAAACACAAACGAAAAATCTTCAGGCTTATTAATGATCACAAAATTATCAACTTAATGATGATAAATTTTTTTACCTCATTTTGGAAATGGTTAAACATACATAGGAAAAGTTATTCTGGGGAAACCAGAGGTAGAGCCTTTAAAATGCAATATGGCAGCATATGGTAAAATGGACATGCATTTTTATTTAACTTTTAATTGGTTAGTCTCTAAGAATATTTATATGAGATAATTGATAATGTGAAATAGGAAGAAAAGGGCTAAAGATGTAGGGAAAATGGGAAGGGTAGGGGAAAGGTAATAAGGGAAAAGAAAAAAATAGAAGATGAAAAAATGGAAATAAAGTGTTTGTAAATGTGGAGGGGAGGAGGGGGTGAAGGGAGGGCAGGGACAAGGGGAAAAAATGAGAACCAAGACCTGTCCTGTAAAGGTACAAGATCCCAATAATGAATGTAACTGTACCATATACCTAAAATGTACCAATACACTCAATGAGGAAAAAAATAAAAATATTTATTTGAGCATGCTAAAATATATATGAAGGATTTTTCTATAGCATTTTGAATATTTTAAGATTCATATTAAATGAATTAGGTACATATGGATAAATGAATTAGCTACATATGTAGCTATAGAAAAAAGAAATGCTTTATGTTTATATTTAACCACATCTTGTTAAAAACTGCAATTCAAATAACAGTATGTTTAGTAAGAAATAATTGTAAAATATGTTAATTATTTAATGATAATGAGTACATAAGAAAAAAATCTGTAATCAGAATTATAATTATAAAAATTTACATTTAGCTCCATTGGTGGTGCATGCCTGATATCCCAGTACTCTAGGAGAATGAGGCAGGAGGATGAAAGTTTGACCCAGATTGGGCATATAGGCAATTTAAGAAAATCTGTCTCAAAATAAAAAAGAGCATAAGGAGTGTAACTCAGAACCAAGGTCTTGGATTCAATCCCTGCTACACAAAGAAAAGAATTTAGTTTTGAGCACAGTTATCTTAATTTCTCAGATTAAGAAATATTTTTAAGTTAGAGAACCTTTACATGTATTTTCCTTAATTTTTAACATAGCCATAGTGACATATGACATAAAGTGATTTCTTTGTCTTTTTTTTTTTTTTTTTTACAGTTGTTGAAAAGCTCAGAGAAATGATGGAAGAAATTGAAAATGCAATTAACACTTTTAAAGAAGAACAAAGGCTGATGTATGTTTTAAACTCATTTTAATATAAAATTATTAACTTTTATTTCTCAATAATTCATTATTAGGTTGTTTTATACAAGCATATTATGTGTTTAAGTCTTACATAAAACAGTAGAACACCTATTTTTGTCATTGGATTTATATGGATTTTTATGTTTAAAGTAAATTTTCATTTGTATTTAGACACTATAAAATCCCAAATAAGAATTTTAAAGACTGTTTTTATCTTGGAGCAAATCTCTTAAGGCTTCAATTTATAAATGTTAGTAATGTCAACTGCAGACAACAGAGTAAAGAATCAGGAATAATTAAATTTGAGAGAAACTGAAGGGTTAGTATGGATTGGCTGATCTCTTAAACTTTTTTTAATTTTAGATACGATGAGCTTATTAAAGAAGAAAAAACAACAAATAATGAATTGAGTGCCATATCAAGAAAAATTGACACATGGGCTTTGGGTAATTCAGAAACAGAGAAAGCTTTCAGAGCAATCTCAAGTAAAGTTCCTGTAGACAAAATGACATCAAATACTCTTCCAGAAGCAGTGGTAGATTTTGAAAAATTCCTACAGCAAACAGGAGGGCGACAGGGGGGCTGGGATAACTATGACCACCAGAACTTTGTAAATGTGAGAAATAAACATAAAGGGAAGCCTGCATTTATGAAAGAAGTTCTAGAACACCTCCCAGGAAGAACACAGGATGAAGTTCAGCAGCATGAGAAATGGTATCAGAAATTTCTGACTCTAGAAGAAAGAAAAAAAGAGGTAATAACAATTATAATAGCTATTACTCCTAAGTTTTTGTTTTAGGCATGTGATAAACTGATTTTGCAGAAATCCCATGAAGTATGTGTATAGTTGTTTCTCCCCCATCTTACAGAAGAGGAAATTAAGGCACTGAGAAGTTAAATAATCTTACACAAGAAGTAGAGCTATAGTTGGATTTCTTTGTGGCCAGACATTTCTCCCCAAGAAATTATACAGTGGGCTATAAAACTGTGGACAAAACCTTCTGTGTTCACTTTCCAGAACTAATTCAGATCAGACTTTGGAAAAAATGTATTTTACCAGCAAAAGCCTCACTATTTTGATTAGAAAATCAAGAGACAGTGGAGAAAACACTTTGACTAGTAAGTTTCTTTGAATAGTCTGGGGCTGTAACTCAGAGGTAGAGCACTTGCCTAGCAAGCATACGGCCCTGGGTTCCATCACCTGCACAACCACCAAAAAAAGCACAAAAAAAGTTTTTCTGAGATTTATACGCTCAACTTTATTGCTTAAAGATATAGACTTTTAGCTACTACAGAGAAACCTTTTAGCAAATATATCCAAAGTTTCATTTTCACAAAAATACAGTGAGTTTAGGGTTTCTCACCCTTGGCACTGTGGACATTTTGGTCTGGATAATTCTTGTTTTGGTGAAGTGTTCTATACATTATAGAGTGGTTAATTGCACCCTTGGCCTATAGCTACTACATGCTTGTAATACTCCCTTTGATTATCAAAGCATCCCCAAACATTGCCAGAGCCTGAGTCCTTTTTATAATAGACTTTGTTTGTTTGTTTTGCTTTTTGAGACAGGGTCTCACTATGTAGTTGAGACTGACCTGGAACTCACTGTGTAGCCCAGGCTGGTCTCTATCTCACAGTGATCCTCCTGCCTCTGCCTCCCAAGTGCTGGGATTACAGGCTTGCGCCACCACGCCTGGCTATAATAGACTTTTAACTATGTACTTATCTGTCCAACAGATGACATGCCTAGAGCACTAAAAAAAATACTGATTCCATGTTTAAAGTTTAGAAAAAGTAGCTTTTGTTGTTGTGGTCGTTCTTTGTTTTCCTTCCTTAGAAATAAGTTGATTGTGGGAAGACTGATTATGGGAGCTGTAAGAAATATTCTTGAAATATAAGTCATTTTTAAAGGCTCAAAGTAATAAGCTGATAAGAATTGAGTTTTTCTTTTGGGATACAAAAACAAGGGTTTCTTAAACTGGCCCCCTAAACCGATAAAATCACTATCACTTGGGAGCTTGTTAGAAGCTACTAGGTCCAAACCCCCAGGCCTAATCAGAACTTTATCGAATCCTCTGGGTGATTTGTTCCAAGCTTACATTTGAGAACTCCTCTCTAGAAAAGGGGGTAGGCATTGCTTCTTGTAAGAAAAGTAAACCACAACAATTCCAGATTACTCTGTTCCTAACTATTCTTATTTCCTGATACTTGACAAGTGATTGGATATAGGACTGAGGAAGAAGGGGGTGTGGAAAAGGAGGTGCCAGTTAACTGAAGTGGAACGTATTAGAGATAGAGAGGGAAGTAGAGGGAAAATAGCAGGAATTCAGGTATAAATCTACTGAGTATAAGATGTGGAGTTGGAAATTTTCCATGTCTCATTTCCTTTAGAATTTGCTCTATTTTGTGTAAATGGAGATACTTAGCACTTTCAGATATGCTTTGAACTTTCTAAATGCCTTTGACTATCTAAATGCCTTTGGCTGTCTTGTTTTCACTTTCTATACCACTTTCTTCCTCTACTGTTCCCAGCTTAGTAAAATCTCCCCAGATCAGATTCTGCCTTCTTCTTGCCCACCCAAACATTACTCCCACTTGGCCTCTCACTAACATTTTCTGTATACCTTTTTAAATGATGTGCTATGGAGTGCCTATGTCATTATCTTACTTAGAAACAGTGCTGCTCAAACACTCTATGGAGTGGATGTTGTAGGCTGTTACTGGTCTACAATGTGATGAAGCAATTGCACGATAACTACCCAGTTAGCACATTCTAGTTCAGTTGACTTTTTTTCGTAGAAAATTTGACATGCAATCCCGGTTTTTAGGGATGGCTGTTTTGAGTAGCCCTATACTAGATGACATTTTACATTGTTTAATTACCTATGGATCCTATCACATTGCTTTACATATATATGGATTTACTGAATGAGTAAGTGATATTCCATAAGGAAAGAAGAGAAAAGTTTTTTCATGTGGGGGAAAGACAATACATCCTCTGCATAGAGAAGGCTACTCGAAATTTAAATAATCTTTACCTGTTCGGATATACAGTTCCTGAGGTATTTTAAATACACTTGTGAAGAAGCACTTATGTGCCAGGCACTGATTTAATCTTCTTGTGCAATAATTCTATCTGTACTTTACAGGTAAGCAAAATGAGGATAAACTAGGTTAGTGACTCATGAATGGTCATACTTAGTAAATGGAAACGCCAGGATTTGGTTCCAGATATTCTGGCTTCAGAGATCATGCTCTTAACTACTCCATTTTTCATTCTGTTTTTGATATTTGACCAGGAAAAGATCACTCAGAAAGTATTCTAAGCCTAGAAGGAGAATACTTGTGCTAAAGTGAGATGACTAGAGGAAAGGGATGATGCCTGTGAAAACAAAGCAGGTAAAAGCTGGGTGTGGTGGTGCAGGCCTGTAATCCCAGCACTTGGGAGGCTGAGGTAGGGGGATCCTGTGAGTTCGAGACCAACCTGGGCTACATAGTGAGTTCCAGGTCAGTCTCAACTACATATTGAGACCTTGTCTCAAAAAAAAAAAAAAAAAAAAGCAGATAAAGAAGAGAAGAATATTTCAGAAGTATAGAAGTAGAAAAAAAATTGAATTGGTTCAGAACAAAATTTAAAAGCCTAACCATCCAGCATCCTCTAATCAATTTTCCTGCCAAAAAAATAAAATTTAAATTTGAGTTGTTTAAAAAGTTTCTTTATCTTTTTTTTAAAAAATCATGTAGTCTATTCAGAATTGGAAAACTAAAAAGCAGCAAAAGAAGCAAGAAATTTTCAAGTTAAAAGAGAAGGCAGACAATATTCCTGTGCTTTTTCATAATAAACCAGAAGGTAATCAAAAGCAAAAAGAAGAAGAAAGAAAGAAACAGAAGTTGGCAGTTGAAGCTTGGAAAAAACAGAAAAGTATAGAACTGTCAATGAAATATGCTTCTAAGTTAAAAGAAGAGGAAGAAAAAGAGAAAAAGCAGCAGAAAGAACGCCAACGCCAGCTTAAATTAAAATTACTATTAGAAAGTTACACCCAGCAGAAGAAAGAACAAGAAGAATTTTTGAGGCTTGAAAAAGAGATAAGAGAAAAGGCAGAGAAGGCAAAAAGAAGGAAAACTGTTGCTGATGAAATTTCCAGGTTTCAAGAAAGAGTGAGTAAATATATTTTCTGAGTAAATTTTAAATGCTACAAAGAGAGGTATTTCCAGATTGAGGTCAGCAAATAGCATTACTTTACCCAAATGAGTAAGCTATGCTCCCTAACTTCTAGTCAGTTATAATCTAGTGAAAAAGATACATGCAAGTTGGAGATTTAAGAATACGGTGGTAATGGGTATGTTGCTTGAGGTGTGGACCAAGTACATTAGGAGTTGGATATACAGAGAGAGCTATGTAACATAACTATAAATTAGAAGGTAATGAGTTGAGTTTTGAAGGAGAAAAAAGGGAAGGAGAAGAGAGATATTTCCTAATGGAGGTAACAGCATGAATAACTGCTTGGAGAAGTGTAATAGCATGTTTTGTGGGGAAACTAAACTTTTAAATGTTCCTAGACACCAAGGAAGAGATGGGAACCAGCAGGAGACAAGAAAGGTAGCCACAGGCTAGGCCAGATGTCTTATCTTCTCTGCTGAATGTCACACCTGAGGAGTGGCTCATTTTAGATAGTACATGAGTTGCTTATTTGTTCATTGTTTATCTCCCCACTGTAAAGGAAGTTCCACAAAGGCAGAGGTTTTGTGTTTTTTGCTTATTTCTGTCAGGTGCAATGTAGGTATTTGATGTATACTTAAACAGCTGGGTGGTAGGATAATACATCATTTAAACAAATGCATGCAAGGAAAATGTTAAGAAAGACAAAATGGAACTGAGTTCAAAAAAGGCAAGGAAGGATATTTTAAAATATAAAAGGGTGCAGGTATATATAGCTGTTATGAATTGTTATGTGCATCAAAATATATACTAACAACATTCGCAAAGCAAACAATAAGAAATGTGTAAAGAAAAATAGATAAAAATGCACCAATGGTTGAAATTTTAGCTCCTTTCTTCTATTCCATATATAAAAATATTCCAGAATAACAAGATTCCATGCTGTCTCACCACACAAAAAGATAAGCAGGCTGCATGATAAAAGACGTAGAAAAAGAAAACCAATAAAACAAAATATAAAATAACTTGAGAGATTTAAAGCTATACTTACCTGTATTGATAACTGAAAATAGACTTATCTATTAAAAGGAGTTTTAGATTAAACTTTAAAGTGAAACATAGAATACCTAAAAGAAAGTGATACCTGCAAGGATGTACAGGTGTTATATTTAGAGAAAATAAAGATCTTAGCCTTTGTTAGAAAAGGTCAATAGTGAAGGATTACTAATAGTTTAATTTTATTCACAAACAATTAAACTCTGGTTACTTTTACTTCCTTAATATAATCTTTTTTTTAGGATTTATATAAACTTGAATTGAAAATTCTAGATAAGCAAGCAAAGGAAGAGGAAAAGGCAGACAAACAAAGAAGATTGGCAAAATTAAAGGAAAAGGTATTCTGTACTGAGATTAACTTTTGTCTTTTAAATGTGTTTTTAACTGATACGAAGAAAAATAAACCTTGTACATTTAATGGGATACTATGTGATATTTCAATACATACGCACAGTAATGTTTAATCACATTAAGTGTATCTACTTATCATTTCTTTATTACAAAAATGTTAAAAATTCTCACAGCTTTTTGAAATATACAGAACATAATTTTTATTTATAATTGCTATAACTACTGTACAACAGCCACTAGAACTTCTTATTCCTACCTATAACTTAGCTCCTGCCTTAGTCACTTTCCTTGTTGTTGGGACACTCCTATGTAAAGGAGAAAAGGTTTATTTTGGTTCACGATATGTAGAGGTTTCAGTCCATGGTCCTTTGGCTCCAAGGCACGACAACACGCAGAGGTGCATGGTGGAGGAGAGCTGCTCAAGGCATGGCTGAAGGGAAGCCTTACCTAGGCCATATCCCCTGTGACCCCCTCTTCAGACCAGACCCCACCTCTTACAGCAAGCCAGCTATAAACACCCATAATTCAATCACCTTTCCAAAGTCCCGCTCAAAAGCTTTGGGGGGGTGCTATCGGGTATAAACCATAATAGTAACCATTGATCAGCCTTCCTTCACCTCCCTCCTAGTTACCATAATTCCTTGATTTATAAGAATACTGACATCAAATGTATTCTCTTATATCTCATCTCTATATCTACTTTAAATTTTACATTTATATGTTGGAAAGCATAACAGTACAATTTAAGCAACTATTATTTGACTATTGTTATACATTATATTATTTTCTTTTACCCTATTTCTCTCTTCCTATCATCATTTCTTTTATTCTTTCTATGTGAAAATCCATTTTATACAGATGGTAGCTGTGAGCGTTGCTTAATCTCATTGGTAATACTCAGAACTAAAAATGTTGAACCATCATAGATTAAGCAGAGTATTTACTGATGGTTATATATCCTAAATGCATTGTCTGGCTATGTCACTATTATACTTAGCTATATTAAATTTCTCTCATAATAGAAATAGAATAAAACAACAGAACTAGGAAAAAATAATTTATTAATAGATTGATGTAGTCCAAATTTTATTTTAGCTGTGTGAGTACAATTAATTTACTGAACAAATTGATAATTTTATGACTGTTTATCTGATACAAAGTATGCTTTTCAAACTATTCTCTAATTGCAGGTTGAAAATAATGTTAGTAGAGATCCCTCTAGGCTTTACAAACCTACCAAAGGTTGGGAGGAACGAACCAAAAGCATAGGACCAACAGGCTCTGGGCCTCTTCTACATATCCCACGCAGGTATAATGGAGTTAGAAGGGGTATTCACTTTATAGAAATTTAAGAACTACATGTTTATATTGTATGCAACTTGTATATTTTATAGTGACAAACTGATAAAGCAAATATACATATATATGTATATATATTTAACAGTTAATGTTAATCAGATAGGTTTGGGTCTTATAAAGAATTTTCCTACATATTCATAATTGCTTTTATCTTTTTCTCCTTAGGACTATTCCAACCTGGAGACAAGGAATATAGAGGAAAATATGAGATAATGGAATCACTATTCATTTGATGAGAGTATTAGCATATTCAGTAATACCAGGAGAGTGTGATTAACCATATTCTTTAAATATCACTAGCCTAGTCAGATTGCTTATTATGCTGTATGTAAATTGAGAGGTACTGTAAGTTTTATTCTGCATACATTAGTGGTTCCTGTTTCTACTAAAAGAGTGTTCAGGGAGCATATATGTTGGCCTATTACTGATATAAAAGTTATTTATGTAAATTTATATTACAAACATCCATTTAAATCCCCAAGGCATTTCAAAGATGCTTTGTTTTTGTCATGGCATAGCAAAATAAATTGAGGCAGTCATAGAGAAGCATTTTTTAAACCAAAATTTTGTAACTTTTGTAACTTGGAAGTAAGTTAGCTTGAATAATAAAAATGTCTTTTTTTAATGAGCTACAAAATAACTTAGTACTTTTTCTAAGTTCAGCAAATTGGTAGTTTGTCAGTTATTACTTTTTTGTGTAATAAATATTTTGTATTTGAAGCATGCTTGTTTTGTATAGAGAATATTTATTTTTAAAATATACTTCATATATCCTATTAATTTTATTATTGCTATCAACTTTTTGGTTTCCTTCTACATATGCTTTTAGCTCTTCTGCATCTCATGCATTTATGAAATCTGCATCATTCACATGTTACTGGTTAATGCAGTTTTCTTTTTTGATTCTGTTTGACTCAAAATAGAAAAAAATGTTTGTTCTGAAATATCTGAAATAAGCTTATTTTTAAAAACTGATTTTTGATTGCTGGAAGCATGTACAGTGTTTTAAAATTGATAGACAAACATATTTGATCAAAAGAATCTTTTCCAAACTTTTGTACATTAAAACACAATTTAGTTTAATTCAAAATTTCATTTTTATGCAAGTCTAGGCCCTATAGGAAGAATACTGCACACATAAAAATACAGGAAGTTTGTTTTAACTTTTATCTAAGATCTTTAATTATAATTTGCTACATATAGGCTAACTTCATGCAGAATTCACTGAAAATTCAGACTCAGAAATTCATTGAGTAGTGACCAAAATCTTTTCTAATTTAACAGTTAATGTTCAAAGTATATAATTCCAGGACCAGGGATTTAGCTCAGTGGCACGGAGCCTGCCTCACAAGCACAAAGTCCTGAGTTCAATCCCCTGTACCAAAAAAATAAAGTAAAATAAAATTTTAAAAATCAAAATATGTAATTCTAAACTTTGGAAACTAAATTCTAATTGTTCGGTTATTGGTATAGAATGAGAAAGTTGACTCAAAAGATCTTTAATTGGAAATCTTATTTATTTGTTCTCTGTGTCTTTTTAAAATGATTTGAAGCAGTTCAGAAATAAAATTTACAAGATAAAGGAATTTAACAATAGAACTGAACAACAAAGTAAATTTTTCTTGAATTGTTTTCTTATGTGTTGTTTTTTTGCATATAGATTTAGCTTTTGATTTCCTGCATCAAGCTAAACATTCTGGTTGTTGTGATTCTCATGACTTGAGAGGTTTCTTTTTTGATAAGAAGAGATTGAACTCATAGTTTTAAGCATAATAAGCACATACTCCCTCACTGTACATACTCACAGCCCTATTTTCCTTTTTAATAAAGGCAAGTATGGAATTTTCTCTTTAAAAATCAATTTATAACAATCTGAAACAAATGAGGGATTTATTGTGGAGGCCCCTGATGTAAAGCATATAGGATAAACATAAAATGTTTTTAGTAGATTCATAGAAGAAATATCAAATAAATATTTTGTAAGCTGGTTTAAACAGTGTATTAATGTGAAATTTAGAAAAACATGGTAAAGCAATTGTCATTCCAACATAATATTTTCCACAATACCAAAATATAACTACATATTTTAAAATGATACAAAATATATTAGTTACTATATTCTTATTTACTATTACATTATATTATACTTTTTCAGTATTTCTACATAATTCAAACATTAATGGTTAATTACAGTATATAGATGTTTTGTCATTGTTATACTTTGAGATGGAATTTCATCTATTTATATTTCTTAGCTAATAATAGGGGTAGCATTTTATATAGGCATTAGATCCTGGCTTGCATATATCAATTTATGTGGTCAAAATCAATCTTTTTTTTTTTTTTTTTTTTAATCTAGAAATTATTTTTCTCTCAGAGGGCAGAA